CCCAGAGTACATTGTGGAACGAGACAGCAAAGGTGCTCCGTGGCACGCAGAGGCAGGCACTTCCCACGTGTGGCAGACCTGTGCCCAGGCACTGCCTATCCTGCTTCCAGACAGGCAGTAGGACCCGGGACACAGGGACACAGCACCTCCCTGCACGCACGCCTCTGAATTCTGACAGGTACAGCAGAAACCCCAAACTGAGCACACCAGGTTTTTACCTAGAATTTGCTATAACCGTCAACAGTTTTACTTCCATTAAAAATGGAAGGCATTTGTAAATTTTTGAACCAAAATTAATTATTCTTCTCCTGAGTTTTCAATTATTTGTGTTAATTAAGGTGTGTGTTTGTGTGTCTTGAATCTATGTGCACGTGTGTACCTCTTGGTTTTTTTAGATTTTTAAATTTTCCACAGTAATGGAGAATTTTTTTCAACATTAATTATCCATAGACTGAACAAATAAAACAAAAAACAATGTTATTTTTGAATAATATAAATTGGTAATAACTGTAACTTTAGGATTCTAATTTAAGATTTTAAAATAAATTGCAAATGAATCTCAGAAAACTTAACAGTATATTATCATAACCAACTATTTGCTAAAGTATTTGTAGAAAATAAGTTCCTTTTGAGGTAAGCTCATCAGAGCAGCTACGATTGTGCTAAGACTAGGTTTCCAAGGATTTTACAGTAGGAACACATGAAGCCACAGCCCATAGTGTCCTGACACTTCCATGGCCTGTGGCTACAGGTGCGGTCACATCCTTGGGTTTAGGGTGGGATGTGCGGTGCGGGGAGAGTCCTCACAGAGGGCGTCCCACGCACCCTTTAGTGGCCCCGCCGGCACTCAGGACAGGCACTGCCCTCATTTCCCCAGCGAGAAAATGGGCCTGAACCCGCCAGCTCTTTGGAGAAAGAACCAGAACTGGAACCACCGCCCCAATTCCTGCACTGAACTCCCCACTTCCTGATGCCTCACTCCCCTTGCTGGCCAAGCCCCGAGCATGCAGCCAGGGCTGGGGTGGGGTGGCCCAAGAGGAAGGAGGTCCCCAGAGTCATCAGCAGGTTCAGGGGCCCCTCCCAGAGGCCACACCCCAACGGGCGCACCTGAGCACCCCAGCCCGAGGTGGACACACCCCACACCCCACACCGTCCTCCGGAGCAGGGCCAGGAAGTGCTGGGAGGCAGAGACAGGCATCCTGGGGCCTCAGCCACCGCTCACATGCTCAGGATTCAGGAAGACCCCAGAAGCTTCTGGATGTACATACTTGTTGCTCAGGCCACGGCAAATGGAAGCAGAGGGTGTATGGCCAGGGCTGGGGGTCTCCTCCATCTCAGGCTGTATGCGGGATCACCGGCCACCTTCAAAGCCCTCGCTCCGGGAGCCCTCAGGAGCCTGCAGATGGGACGGCTGTGGCTCCGCTCTCCTGAGGTGGCCGCCCCCCGGCCCATGTGGGCTCCTCTACTCCCAGAGAGGTTTTCACCTCAGAAATGACACCACATCACGTGGGGGTGGGGCACATCCTTCACCTGACGACATGAAGTCTCTCTCAGGCCCATTAATAGGGTTCCTTCAGCCGGCAGATGGATAGCGGCTCCAGCCGGTTTCATCCACTAAAAGACGGCATAAATCGCCACCGAGAAAAGAGCGGCTGCGGGGAGGTTATCGCCACACAGCCCTCACGCCGAAGGCCCGCTTAGAGCATTAGTGGAATTAATTCATCTTTCATAAGAGCTTGCCGCCGGCCCTGTGATCTATGGTAACAACCAATTTCTCACTACGGGCAAAAGGAAAAAAATGACTCGCCCTGATCGACTACACAAATCTGCTTTTTAAAAATGGCCTCACATTATCTGGAGTGTGGCTCCCAGAGGCATCATCTGAAATTCATACCAAGCCAAAAGCATCCATAAATCAGCAGAGAAAGTTTTGTTAGTTTCTGCGGCGGCCGTAATTACCCGAGACTGCATTATACCCCCATCGAGGTAATTACATTTAGATTACCCTTAAGTGACGGTAATAAAAGAAAGAGAAATCAGTCTGAAACTAGTTCCTTCCTCCAAAATGTGTTCACACACAGCAAGAGGTCGGGCGCAGAGGCACAGAGGGAGGGGCGGGCCAGGTCGGGCTGCCAGGCTGGGACCCCCATGGCTCCCCAGACCCTTCCCTCCTCCTTCCTCCCTCCAGCAGGGACACGGGGCGCCACACAGGCTCTGTGGGGTTAAAAACCCACACTACGGACAGAACATTAGAAGCTTATAGTTTTTAAAATAAGTTTCCTTTTGTTAATTTACCAGGGAAGAGGAAACGTTGGAAAACCTCTGCAGACCATCAAACACACGGGTCCCGGGAGGATTTCTAAGACGATGACGTGGCAGGCCTGGCCCCCCGTCCCAGGCACCAGCAGCCACGGAGATCTGCTGAGCAGCTGACCACCAGGCCATGGACAGCAACACGCTGCTCTCCCAGGGGAGAGACGGGTCCACACACACAGGCTCGGCGCCTGTTCCTCCCAGGAATCGTCTGCCTCCCAGAATCTGCCTTCTCCTCTGCCTGTGGACACAACACTGCAGTCCCTGGAGCCAGGTCCACGGCAGGCGGGAAGGGGCTGGACCCAGGCTGGGGGCTGGAGTTTCTATACAAACCGGGGCTGAGGCTGCTCTTCCTGGGGGAGGGGCAGCCCCCCATGCTACGCCCTCCAGAGACCCACGCCAGCAGGCCCCTAGCATCACAGAGGACTCAGAGTACTGGCGTCAGGGACCAAGGCCAGGGGCCACACTCAGACCCCTGCCGGGGCACCCACCCTCCAAAGGGTGGCAAAGTCATAGCAGAGGCCCCCAGACCTTGCCCAACTTCAGCCTGGGCCCCGGCCTCACTCCCCGCTTGCTGGGTCCAGGAGAGAAGCCTGAGGTGTGGGTGCAAGAAGGAGGCTCTGCTGCTTCAGGGCGGGGCTGAGGTATGGAAGGGTCAGAGCCTGTGTGGCTGCCTGGGAGGACCCTAGACTATCTGTTCCTTACTGAGGGCCCGCTGCCCCTGAGCTTCCCACCCTGGCAGACCCTGTGGCCCCTGGCCCCTCACGACATACCTCGGCCCTCACCCCTAGGGACTATGGGGCTCCCTGTGGGCTCTCCTACCCCATCCAGGGTGGACAGGACCCAGTGAGTAAGTGGACACCTGGTGAGGAGGGGACAGCCCAGCAGCACCTAGTCCAGCCACGGCCCTGGAAAGCAATGCAGTCACATGTGTCCCGAGACAAGGTGCTGGGTCAACAGCCCCCGCCTGGACCAGCCCGGTCGCCCACAGCTGCTCTCCTCATGCCATCAAGCAGCAGCACATGGCCCCGCCCAGCCCAGGCCCCCCCAGCACCTATGCTTCCCACAAAGGGCCCTGAGTCTGTCTCCAGTCACTCTGAGATGAGAGCCTTGGCTGAGTTCAAGAGAGGCCAGAGTTCAGCTCACAGGCTCTCCAGGGGAGCCACAGCTGCCACCCTGCCCTTCCAGTGGGCCTGCACCACAGGCGGCCCCTTCAGGGAGGCTATCATGACCCAGGGATGCGACTGTGCGCGGAGAAGACCACGGAGCTTCCTTGTGTGTCCTTTTCCAACCGCAGGACACCCGGAGCAGAGGGAGGCAAGCGGGCGGTGCCGGAAGCAGGGCCGAGGACGGGAGGCTGGCCCACTGACACGGTGTCCTTGGCCTAGGGAAGATGGATGAGGAGGCCAAGCCACAGGGTGACAGGAGCGCCCCATCCTTCACGGGGCAGCCACAGTCCCTCACTCAAGGTGTGGGCCATAAAGCAAGTTAATAAAGTTGTGGCCTTGCTGGAAGTCAGCTCCGTAGCAGCCTCAGCCTGCACGACTCTCGTGGAGACAGGACTGCGGAGCAATCCTTCTTGGGGCTGGCCGCGCAGACAGGTCCGGACGAGAGCTCCTATATCACAGCCTGGACGCCCCCAAACCCGCCTCAGTGCCCGGGCCGCTTCTGGCCACGGTACCTGGATGCCCCCAAACCTGCCTCAGTGCCCAGGCTGCTTCTGGCCACGGTACCTGGATGCCCCCAAACTTGCCTCAGTGCCTGGGCCGCTTCTGGCCACGGTACCTGGACGCCCCCAAACCCGCCTCAGTGCCCGGGCCGCTTCTGGCCACGGTACCTGGATGCCCCCAAACCTGCCTCAGTGCCTGGGCCGTTTCTGGCCACAGTACCTGGATGCCCCCAAACCCGCCTCAGTGCCCAGGCTGCTTCTGGCCACGGTGCCTGCACCCCACTGTGATTTAGCAGATTAGGAAGGGCAAAGCAGCAAACGCTGCCTCGACAGGTTAACCACACAGCGAGGCAGACACCGACAATGCCGCGTGTGAGGTTTACCCAAAGATCATGTGCACAGAGCAACAGCTGCACACACACAGCTCAGCAAGAGCATGGCGGCCAGAAGGAAACACCAATTTCTTATCAACACCGTCTGGCAGAGAGATGACAGATGCCTTCCACACATTTTGATTCTAGACTCTCCGTGTGACGCACGCATAACTGCTGGGACCCTGCTGCTTGCAGCCTGGTGCAACCACCAAGGCCGTATCGGACACGGGACCGTGCCCCTGCCCCACATTCACACCATGGGCACACGCGACCGTCAGCCACTGTCTTGGTTACCACCAGCCAGCCCACCTTCTCCCAGCTGGGCGTGCAGGGGACCCCAGGTGCACGCCAGGGGAGCTGAGTAATTTTCCTACATCTTTTGGCGAAGCTTCTTTTTCGTGGATATGAGGATTCAGGAATTTACTGATTGCTGTGGTGCTAATGCCTTAGATTCTCACTGCCCTTACATGTGACAGCCCAGACCAACCACAGGAGGCTGGACTCCCAGGAAGACGGATTATCAGAGGTAACAACAGGCAGCTGCGACCAGCAACAGTGCAATGCGCAAATTCCGCGTTCAGTGTCGCTTCTGACGGGCTCACCCTGGGAAGCAAACCGGTTGGTGAGAAAGCCTCACTACGCACCTCGGGGAAGTAGTCCTGCGGAAACTTCTCCTTCTCCAGCATGGGCGTGCTCTCCAATGTATCCGAGTAGATCTCTTTGCCCGCGACCTTTCTATACTTCTTAGCTGGAAGAGACCAGAAGGATGAGGTGACTATCCCATCGTTGTGCCCACCAACCAGCCTGGAGCACAACCTGTTTCTGCCCCGCATGCAGCCCGATGGGAGCAAGGGAGGCCCCCGAGAGGAGGCCCCGACGAGGGCGCCGATGCTGAACAGACCCCCGGTGGCTGGCTGCTCCATGCCTGTGGCTCATAAATTTCCCTCCCATGACCTGAAATCTGACGCTCCACTCCATGACCCCCCGAGAGCCCCCAGCCTGCAGATTTACAGGAGCTAATTGGCATCCTCTTTTAAACCCGTGCATATATTTAAGAGGGCTGCAGAACTACCATTCACTCAGACCTTCACATGAATTTATTTAATAACATTGATTTCCTCCCCGTATCCAGCCTCCATCACTCATATTCCAGGGAACAGGTTTGTGTGTGACGGTGAGAGAGGCAGCTCGCGGCAGGGTGCCTCCCAGATGGGCTTTGCCAGTGGCTGTTTGGCACCTCCCTGGAGCCCCCAGTGGATAGGCCAGGCCCAGGGACACAGGCCCGCCCGTGGGCAGGGCCGGTCTCACTATTGTTCACAACCAGGCCTCGGTCTTTCTTTTTATGGACAGGTAGCTCCATACCCATGGTGGGGTATGATCAAGGATGGCAGGGATCCATTCCTCAAACTCCTGCTGGGCCCGGTGGGCAGCTGGCCGCTGGCCTCTTTGCAAGATGCCATAGGATGGCTCCTGGGTCACTGAGGTGACACTCATGGGTGTCAAGGAGGTTCCTGGAGACCACTTTGGGGCAGTGTATTGTGTCCCACAAGCAGCACCAAACTGCAGTTTCTGGGGTATTATCCACCCCACTGTGGCAGGAGGGACAGAGGGGGCAACCTGAGGACCACGGCACTGTGGGCCGAGGTACTGGGTCACCACTGGGGTGGGCAGGAGTCCCAGGCAAAAAGAGAGTGCTGTGGTGTGGCCCAGCCCTGGGTGCTGTGGTCTGGCCCGGCCCTGGGTGCTGTGGTCTGGCCCGGCCCTGGGTGCTGTGTTCTGACCTGGCCCTGGGTGCTGTGACCTGGCCCAGCCCTAGGTGCACAGTCCTGGATGCAGGTGCCTCATGGACAGGAGACAGCATGAGATGTTTCAGCGACTTATGGAGCATGGACAGAACATTAAATAGAGGCCGTTCCCTAAACTCGGAGCTTAGACTCCACGGATCCTTTCACTGTCTCCACAGTTCTGCCTTTTCCAGAGTGTCACAGAGTTGGAATCACACAGTGTGTAGCCTTTTCAGGTTGGCTTCTTTCATTGGTAGCAGGCATGTCAGGCTCCTCCGTGTCTTCTCACGGCTTCAAAGCTCACTTCTTTTTATCGCCAAACAGCACCCCGTGGAGCTGACATGCCACAGCCTGCTTGGCCCATTCACCTACAAGGCAGAACAGCAAGTCTTGAAGTCGGGAAGTGCGGGCTCTGACTCTGCTCTTCTTCTTCAAATCTCTGGGCTATTCTGGGTATTTCGTTTTCCACATAACCTTTACAGTCAGCTTGTCAATGGCATGACACACCTTGCTGGGGCTGTGTTGAATCTATAGCTGAAGTTGGGAAGAGCTGAACCCTTGACAGTACTGGGTTGTCCCATCTGTCTTAGTCCACCAGGCAGCTACAGTAAAATAGACTGGGTGGTCTGTAAACAAAGTAAGCGTCTTTCTCCTAGTTTCGGGGGATGGGAAGTCCAAGATCAGGGTGCTAGGAGATGCGGTTCCTCACGGATGGTGCCCTGTGTGTGTCCTCACGTGTGGAAGGGGCAAATGAACTCCCAGCCTCTTTCATGAGGGCTCCCATCCCATTTGTGAGGGCTCTGACCTCACACTCTAATCAGCCTCCCAAGGCCCCACCTCCTAACAGCATCACCCTAGGGGTTAGGTCAGCAGATGAATTTGGGGGTAGGGGGCACCTACATTCCAACCATAGCACTATCCATGAAAATGAAATCTCTCTCCATTTATCTAGATCTTCTTTATTTCATCAGAGTTTTATAGTTTTCCTCATAGAGATCTTGTATTAATTTGTTAGATTTATTCTTAAGTACTTCCGTTTGGTGTGTGCTTAAGTAAATGGTATTATGTTTTTAATTTAAAATTCCACCAGTTCATTGCTGCTATATAGGAAAGCAACTGATCTCTGTATATTAATTTTGCATCCTGCAATGTTGCTATAATTGCTGATTAGTACCAGGTTTGTCTGTTATTATTGCTGACTCTGAGATTCTTGACAAAATCGTATCATCTGAGAACAGAAATAGTTCTATCTCCCATCACCCCATCAATATGGCTTTTATTTCCTTTTCTTGTCTTATTACATTATCTAAGACTTTCAGTAAGATGTTGAAGAGAAGCAGGAGAGGAGGCATCCCTGCCTTGTTCCCGATCTCGGAGGAAAAGCATCTAACTTCCCATTAAGTGTGGTGTTCATTGTAGGATTTTTGGAGCTTTACCAAGTTGAGGAAGTTCCCTCTATTCCTAGTTTGCTGGGAGCTTTCTTCAAATCATGAAGAGATGTGGATTTTGTGAAATGCTTTTTCTGCATCTATTCTATGATCTTGGGATTTTCCTTCTTTTGCCTGTTGCTGTGATGAATTACATTAATTGATTTTTAAATGCTGAACCAGCCTGTATACCAGGAGTAAATCTCGGTTGGTCACAGTATATAACTGCCTGTTGAGAATTTTGTTGAGCACTTTTGTTTACAGTTCATAGTTTTCCTTCTCTTTGTAATGTCTTTATATGGTTTTAGTATTCGGGTAATGCTGGCCTCATAGAATGATTTAGGATGTTTGTCCTCTGCTTGTATTTTCTGGAAGAGATTGTAGAGAACTTGTATAATGTCTTCCTTAAATGCCTGATAGAATTCACCAGTGAAACCATCTGGGTCTAGTGCTTTCTTTTTTAGCAGTTATTAATTACTTATTCGATGTTAGTTAATAGCTATAGGCCTGTTCAGATTATCTAGTTTTCCTTGCATGAGTTTTCTTAGATTGTGTCTTTCAAGGAATTGGCCCATCTCAGTTATTACATTTATAGGCAGAAATTAATGATATTCTTTTATTATCCCTTAAATGTCCACAGGATCAGCAGTAATGGTCCCTCTCTAATTTCTGATATTAATAATTTGTGTCTTCTCTCTTTTTTTCTTAGTCTGGCTAGAGGTTTATCGATTTCATTGCTCTCTTTAAAGAAGCAGCTTTTGGTTTTGTTGATTTTCTCTATTGATTTCCTGTTTTCAGTTCTGTTGATTTCTGTTCCAATTTTCATTATTTCTTTTCTTCTGCTTACTTGGAATTTTCTTTTCTTCTTCTAGCTTCCTAAGGTAGAAGCTTAGATAATTGATTTTAGCTCTTTCTTCCTTTGTTCTTAGCGTTTTTTCTTTTTAGCTCTTCCTTATATGCATTTGATGCTATACATTTCCCTCTAAACATTACTTGTTCTAATATCCCACGAATGTTAAGTTGTATTCACATTTTCATTTGGTTCAAAATATATTTAAATTTCTCTTGAGACTTCTTTGACTCATATGTTATTTAGATATTTGTTGTTTAATATTCAAGTATTTGGGGATTTTCCAGCTACTTTTCTGGTACTGATTTCTAGTTTAATTCCATTGTAATCTATAAGCATGCTGTATATGGTTTCTATTCTTTTAAATTTGTAAAGGTGTGTTTTACGGCCCAGAATGTGATCTGTCTTAGTGAATGTTCCATGTGAGCTTGACAAAAATGTATATTCTGCTGTTACTGGATGAGGTATCCTATAAATCTCAATTAGATCAATTTGTTTGATGGTGCTGTTGAGTTAAACTATGTCTTTCCTGATTTTATGCTTGGCAGATCTGTTCATTTCTGATACAGGGTGTTGAAGTCTCATTCATCTGTTTCTCTTGGCAGTTCTACTAGTTTTCTCCTTGTGTATTCTGACACTCTGTTGTTAGGCACCTAGATATTAAGGATTGTTACGTATTCTTGGAGATCTGATCTTTTATCATGATGTAATGTCCCTCTTTACTGCTGAAAACTTTCCTAGCTCTGAAGTCTGCTCTGCCTATTCTGGTAATTTCTGATATTAATAATTTGTGTCTTTTTTTCTTAGTCTGGCTAGAGGTTTACCCATTTTATTGATTTTTTTCAAAGAACCAGCTTTTGGTTTAATTTACTTTTCTTATTCTAGTTTCCTAAGGTACAAGCTTAGATAATTGATTTTAGATCTTTCTGCTTTTCTAATATAAGCATTTGATGCTATAAATTAATATGGCTCCTCCAACTTTCTTTTGGCCCATCTAAGTTTTCCTTTGATTCATGTTAGAACAGTATACCTTCCTCCATCCCTTATCTATTAATCTTTAGGTGTTTATATAAATGGGTTTCTAGAAGACAACACATAGTTGGGTATATTTGTTTTAAATCCACTCTGACAGTCTCTGTCCTTTAATTGGTGTATTTAGACCATTCATATTTAAAGGAGTCGTTGATATAGTTGGAGTAATATCTACTATATTTGTAAGTTTTCTATTTATTGCCTTTGTTCTTTGTATCTTTGGGGTGTCCCATTCTTTTTCTGCCTTCTCTGGCTTTTATTGGGCATTTTATACGGTGCCATTATCTCTCCTCTCTTAACACATCAGTTATACTTCTTTTAAAAAGTTTTTTAGTAGTTTCCAGTTCACAATATACATGTATAACTAATCCAAGTCCACTTTTAAATAATACTATATTCCTTAAAATGATAGTACAGGTTTCTTATAACAGAGTACCCCAAATTCCTCCCTCCTGTCCTTATAACATTTCTGTTATTCATTCCACTTATCCATAAGCTGCAGTTAATCAATATATGGTTGCTGTTATTACTTTGAACAAAAGTTATCTGCTAGATCAATTAAGGGTAAGAAAAATACATTTCATTTTACCTTCACTTATTCCCTCTCTCATGCTTTTTCTTTCTTTAGGTAAACCAGAGTTTCTGGGCCATATGGTATTTCCTCCTGTTGAAGAACTTCTTTTAGCATTTCTTGTAAGGCAGATCTACTGGCAACAAATAACTTCAATTTTTTCTTACCTGACAAAGTCAATTTTCTTTACTTTTGAAGAATAATTTTTTTTTCTGAATATAGAATTCTAGGTTGATATTTTTCTTCTTATAATGCTGTAAATATTTCACACTACTCTCTTCCTTCTTGCATGGTTTCTGGGAAAAGGTCCAATGTAATTCTTATCCTTGTTCCTTTATACGTAAGCAATCACCTCGCCTATAAGGAATCTCCTGGATTCTTTCAAGATTTTCTCTTTTTTCTTTGAATTTCTGCAGTTTCAATACATGGTGGCCGGGGGTCGACTTTCTGGCATTTATCCTGCTTGGTGTTGGCATTCACTGAGCTTTCTGGATCTGTGGTTTGGTGTCAGTTACAAGTTTGGAAAGTTCTAAACCATCACTACGTTAAATCCTCCTTCTGCTCCTTTCTTTCTACTCCTACTGGGGTTCCCTTTACAAGCTGCACCTGTCGTCGCTGTTCCACTGGTCTTGGCCATTTTCTTCTGTTTTCAAATTTATTCTCATTTCTCCTTGCTTTTCAGTTTGTGAAGTTTCTAACACCGTCCAGCTCACTGATTCTTCCCTCAGCCCATGCGCGGATGAGCCACTGCTTCCTTTCTGGTGCTGTTCCTGATTTCTAGTTTTCTTTTTGAGTCCTTCTCAGAGCCTTGAGCCCCCAGCCTGACCCTTGAGCCCAACTGCCCAGCCCGGCGAGGCCCCAGCCTGACCCCTGGGCCTGACCCCCGAGCCCAACTCCCCAGCCTGACCCCCCAGTCCAAGGGCCCCGCACTGCTCTGAGCGTCAGCAGCAACATCTGCCATGCGGGGCACTGAGAACATCGTCAGCATCCACACGCCTCCTGCGACCGCACACCTCCCGCATTCACGTCTCCCGCGACCACACGTCTCCAGTGTCCGCACGCCTTCCTGACACACCACATGCTCAGGACGCACTCGCTGCCCACTCCTCACGTTGTTTTTGTTAGTCTGGCCACATGGAGGGCCCTGGGGAAAGTTCTGCGAGAGTGAAGTGTGCATCTCACGTAGAGTTTTAAATACACCGTAGGGTCACCAGGCACTTCACGACTGATTTAACTTGGTAGTAAAACATGTATTCAAATGGCTACTGAGAAACAGAAAAGTTCTGCAGATCTGGAGCACGGTGAAGCCTGACACACAAGCTCCTTGGTTGCAGCTTCCCGCGGCACATGCTGCGTCTGAGCGCCCTCTCTCCCCACTCTCACCGGCCGCTCCGTGCCTGCGCACACAGCACGCAGGTGCCCTGTCTCCTGAAACGCAGCGAAGAGCGCCACCGGCCGGCTCCTGCGATTCTGTATGGCCGATCCTGCCACGGGCCTTGTAGGAGGGCTCGGATGCTAGAATGGGGAAGGATCTGAATGTGGAAGGATCTGAAGATCTTCAGGTAACAGGGCAGTGAGAAATCAATCTGCCAGCCAGAATCTTGCTCTCATCATCAACGAAATCGCCACTCGAGCAATTGAGATGAGACTGCTGCGCAATTTCACATGAGGCGCTCCGTCTCCCGGGGGAGCACAAACACGGAATCTGAGCGAAATGATATCGTTTGTGGCTCCAGTTACCACAGCGTGCAGGCACTTCACATGGGTGTGATCTGCTCTGGAGGCTGCGGGGGTTCCGAGGACTCACACACAGCAGGAAACGACAGCATCAGACGGGAAGTCATGGCACAAACACCCCCAGGCCGTGTGGAGCACGCAGGGAAGCCCCACACCCAGCCTAGGTCACACACCTGCCCCCAACAAAGAAATGAACAGGAGGGGACAGCTCGTGTCAGTGGAGCGTCTCAGGGCAAGTCTTTTCCATGAAGACACACAGCATATGACCATCAAACAGGGACACTGCTCACGGCACGGAGGACTGTCCCTGCCTGTTCTTATTTCTGAAACATGCAACCCTCTTATTCGCGTTTCATTTTCTCACACTGGAGGGGAACACAGAAACAAACTATTCCTTCCTCTTAACACTAGGAAAGCCAGGTCCCCACCAGAGCCTTGCCAGGGAGCCAGTGTGGGACGGCCACGGGGTCTCAAGACCAGGTCCAGGAGGCCCCTGGAGTGACCTCTGGCCAGTGGCTCAAGACACCCAGCCCACAGTGGCCATTCACGGAGACAGGGCAGGAGGGGCCTGGGGAAGCCAGACACCAGGAGGGGTGAGCGCCGAGACAAAATCCCGGAAGACGGCACGCAGTCTTACCTTTAAAGTCAAATTGGTAGATGTTTTTTAAGGATTCATGAAGAAAATAAAAG